CAATGAGTGTAACATTATTTTTAATTGAACAGTGGCGGGATTTGGTATTTGCGGCAATGAGCTTTCGAGTTCCTAACGCCTAATAATAATAATTATTATTATTATTTTTAATTTCTAAAATGATATCCTCAGTCTTATTGAAGACGCTTAAAAAATATTAATATTTGAAACAAAATCGCTTACATAAATAACTGAATACAAATCGATTACTGTTAAAGTTAAATATTTAAATTTCTAGATCAGGGAACTCCCCCTCCCCCAATGACCTTGACATATATTGTAACCTCCTATATTGTAACCTGAGTAACCTCCAACAAGTTTTAGCTATTGCTCGTTATTCGTTAAAAAGCAACAATCTTAGATACTAATAATCCTCCCTAAATTAAATTAAAATTTATAAAGACAATTTATTACAGAAAATATTTTCATCTGAGAACGCTAGTCTCTGAGAACGCTCTCTGTTTAAAAAGGTCGATAGAAAATAATAAAAAAAATTCTATCAAAACTAATCGTATTTGGTTTGTGCTTTTCATAAGTGACTCAATTTATTAGTATGTAAGTTTAATTAGATTTGTTAATATATTCCACATACCTCGCAAATGAAAATCAATAAGCGTTTTACAAAACATTATACCTATATCGAATGTTATGGAAGTGTCACAAATAAGAATATATCATTTCTTATGTCAGTGTATCGTACTATTGTTCTCCATGTGAAGTATCTTTTGAAGAAAATTCTATAAAATTTAATCGTGTGTTTGGTTCGTGAGTGTTTTTTCATAAGTGACTTAACCCGTATGGAAAGGAGCTATTGAAAACTATTATGTACTATTCAGATTTTTATTTTTTTAGTATTTTTATAATTTCTATAGTTACTTGATTAGTAACTATTGGCGAATACGTCCGTGAATAGTAATTAAATAGTAACTAGGACTATTGGCAAATAGTTTTAAAAAATAACTATTTGCGATTATGTATTGAACAGTAATTAAATAGTAACTACGACTATTGGCGAATAATTCTGAAAAGAAACTATTCGCAACTACGTAATTGAACAAAACGGATGAAATATTGGCCTTACTCATTACCAAGTTGACATCAATCTTTGTGCATAAAATTTAACATTCTATTTATTTGTTTGCACAATTATTTTAAATAATAAAATATTTCAAAACAGATTTCTTAAATGACTTAAATATTAGGTGTACAACTTTGCTTCCGCCGTTTTTTTCCGAAATTCGAGGCTTTATTGTAAAAAACTGGTTATACATTTATGATTCAAAGTATTGTCCATCGCTGGCCACTACTTTCTCCCATCTTTCGGGTAGCGTACGAATCCCGCGTCGAAAAAACTGGTCATCTTTTGAGGCTATCCACGAATCGATCCAATTTTTTACTTCTTCATAAGACCGGAAGTGCTGGTCAGCCAGGCCGTGTGCCATTGATCGAAACAAGTGATAGTCAGAGGGAGCAACATCTGGAGAATACGGCGGGTGGGGTAGGACTTCCCATTTCAACGTTTCCAAGTATGTCTTGACCACTTTCGCAACATGGGGTCGAGCATTGTCATGCTGCAAAATCACTTTATCGTGTCTCTCGTTGTATTGCGGCCGTTTGTCTTTCAATGCTCGGCTCAAACGCATCAATTGCGTTCGATACCGATCGCCTGTGATTGTTTCAGTCGGTTTTAACAATTCATAATACACTACGCCGAGCTGGTCCCACCAAATACAGAGCATGACCTTGGAGCCGTGAATATTCGGTTTGGCCGTCGACGTGGAAGCATGGCCGGGAACTCCCCATGATTTTCTGCGCTTGGGATTATCGTAATGA